TCATTTAATCCTCACAATCCTTTTGGGAAGAGCCTAATAGTTCCAACTGAATGACTGAGTCACAGAGAGGCTAAGAAACTTGCCCAAAGTCACACAGCTGGCAGGTGCCAGCACTTGGATTCAGACCTAGTAGTCTGACTCCAGAGCCCACACACTGAACGACAATGCTGTGTTGAAATTGGCCAATGCCAAGCATGCCCTTTATGATGGAGAATTACCAGGTGGCACTTACAAGCCTAGGAGATACAGTTGACCTGTATAGTGAAGGGCTTTGGAGTGATGGCGGTGGGGTGTGCTGCATCGATCTACTTGCCTTGGAGCACATAAATGACTTTGCCTCTCTGAGCCTCACCGATAAAATGGGTACAGAAATGCCATCCTGGTTGGGTGTGGTGGCTCACGCCTGTAATCCCAGCACTTTGGAAGGCCGAGGCAGGGGAATCATGAGGTCAGGAGATAGAGACCATCCTGGCCGACATGGTGAAACAGGTATGGTGGCGTGCACCTGTAGTCCCAGCTACTTGGGAGACTGAGGCAGGGGAATCGTTTGAACCCGGGAGGTAGAGGTCACAGTGAGCCAAGATCGCTCCACTGCACTTCAGCCTGGAGACAGAGCGAGACTCTGCCAAAAAAAAAAGAAAAAAAGAAAAAAAAAAAAAAAAAGAAATGCCACCCCAACCTCTTGGGATTCTTGGGACAGTTCGTAGCTTCTCCATAAACAATAGCTGTGAACTACATGAAACCTTTCTGCAAAGGAAATAGAGGAATATTTTCCTGTCTACCCTCACACCTGCTAGGTGTATTCACAAACTCCTGATATTTTTCCTGTTCAGCGGTTTGTCCATCTGTAATCAGTTTCTCAATCATTCTGTACTTAATAGCCGCTTTACCATGAGCCTGTTTTTCTCTGGGATTTAGTTACCTTATCAATGAAATGGGGAGGCTGGGCGAGGTGGGTTGGTCACACCTGTAATCCCAGCACTTTGGGAGGCTGAGGCAGAAGGATTGCTTGAGCCCTGGAGTTTGAGACCAGTCTGGGCAACATGGCGAGACCCTGTCTCTACAAAAAATACAAAAATTGGCCGGGCATGGTGACCTGTGCCTGTAGTCCTAGCTACTTGGGAGGCTGAGACAGGAGGATCTCCTGAGCCTGGGAGGCTGAGGTTGCAAATGAGCCGAGATTGTGCCGCTGCACTCCAGCCTGGGTGACAGAGTGAGACTCTGTTTCAAAAAAAAAAGAAGAAAGTGTGGTGAGTTTTAAATAAATTGATATTTGTATTTATAACAATGCCTCCCAGATAATAAGTGCTCAATAAAAGGTAGCTGTCACGACTGTATTTCTAGCTGTCCTTCCATCAGGGCAGAGGCCTTCCTGGAACAGTTTTGCTGGTAGCCCAGATGTCTAGTTGTTGCCTAGTGACTGTTAACTGGCTGGTCCCATTGTTTTCTTCTCTTTGAAATCTGAAGTCAGGGCCACCAGGTTAGGAATCATTTTCCTTCTTAAAGAATACATGCGCCTCTGTGGGTGGTGTGTTTACATAAGGTGAGACCTGCCTGGTAGCTCACTGAAGTTTCTTTCTACCAGGATTTCTCAGCCTTGGCACTGTCGACTTTGGGCCTGATCATCCTTTGTCTTGGAGCTGTCCTGTGCAATGTAGGATGTTCGGCAGTATCCCTCACCTCTACCCACTAGATGCCTGTCGCAACTCCTCTTCCTGCCCAGTTGTGACAACCAAAAATGTCCCCAGACATTGCCAGATGTCCCCTGGGTGTGCTGATTACTGCTTTCCACTCTTCTAAACACCTGAGCCCTGTAAAAGTGTTTGTTTGATAGTGGGAGCGTGTACTGAGCTCCTGCTGTATGCTGGGTACAAGGGATACAGACGTGATCCCTGGCTGGGCAGTGCCTAGAATGCAGTGAGTGTTCCATAAATATTGTCATTATCACCCAGTTTCCCCAAAGCCATTAATAAATACCTTCGTTAAATACGTAAACATGATCAGAAATAATTCAGAGGAGTCCAGCGTTTACTGGGTTTCCTGGTTGTTCCTCCATGTCTCTGCAAACCCAGAAGCCTCAGAGACCAAACTTTTACCCTGGTCCTATTTCTGGTCTCCTTTCACTTGGATTTTGGACCATGCCCGTCTACGCAGACGGGATTCCGTCTTCATTCCATTTTATGGCTGCATCACGATGTTTCGCATGTGGGCATCAATGTTGCTTCCTGTCTGGTTTTTCTACAAAACCCTGTTGCAGTGGCTACCCCTGTCTGTCCTTCTGTGCACCCATGAGCCCTGCAGACAATAGGACATGTTCTTAGAATCATCCCACTACTATCTGAGTGATGTTAAGCATCTGTCTTTATTTATTTATTTATTTATTTTTGAGGTGGCATCTCGCTCTGTCGCCTAGGCTGGAGTACAGTGGCGCAATCTCGGCTCACTGCACTTCAGCCTCCTAGGGTCAAACGATTTTCCTGCCTCAGCCTCCCCAGTAGGAGTAGCTGGTACCAAAGGTGTGCACCACCACACCCGGCTAATTTTTGTATTTTTAATAGAGACAGGATTTCGTCATGTTGGCCAGGCTAGTCTCGAACTCTTGACCTCAGGTGATCCGCCCGCCTTGGCCTCCCAACCTGTTGGGATTCCAGGTGTAAGCCACCATGCACAGCCACAGCATCTTTACGTGATGGTTGGCCAGGGTAATTTGGGTGACATATTGGGTCTGAACTCTTTGCTTCCTCAAAGGAATGTGATAAGGTGACTGTGGAGGGCCTGTTCCTTTATCCCTGGCATTTCAGCAGAGAATTTTGCCTTCTTTTTTTTTTTTTTTTGAGATGGAGTTTTGCTCTGTTGCCCAGGCTGGAGTGCAGTGGCGCAATCTCGGCTCACTGCAAGCTCTGCCTCCCGGGTTCCTGCCTTTCTCCTGCCTCAGCCTCCCAAGTAGCTGGGACTACAGGCACCCGCCACCACGCCCGGCTAATTTTTGTATTTGTAGTAGAGATGGGGTTTCACCGTGTTGGCCAGGATGGTCTCGATCTCCTGACCTTGTGATCTGCCCACCTCGGCATCCCAAAGTGCTGGGATTACAGGCATGAGCCACCGCACCTGGCCGAATTTTCCCCCTTCTTTAGGTGACTTTTAGAGATAGCACCCAGGGCAGGTGGGGACCTTGGTTGGTTTGCAGTGGCGTCTCTTCCTTTATCTGCCCCCTTTCTGAAGCTAATTTCCCTTTGCTTCTCCCAACCCACTTCTGTGGTTCAACTGCTGCCAGCACAGAACTGTCTTTTTGTTTCTGAATTGCCCTCTGATGCCGTGATTCCCCGTTGCAGTTTGGAAGCCACCATCACTGGAGATTTCTAGAACCCAAGCCAGGCAGGGGCTGGATAAATAGTGCCAACGGGTGCCAGCCACCAGAACCAGCTCCTCAGCCAGCCACAATGTAAAGGCCAAAGGCAACCGGTTTCTCCACATTCTTTGTGGTGTTCTGGTCGAGTTTGAAGGGCCTCATGTACACATGTTGGAGGGAGCCTTTGGGGCCTGGGCCTGCTGAGGGGGTGGGTGGTGGGCAGTGCGTTCTCATAGGGAGTCGGGCCCTGCCTCAGTAAAATTGGAAAGAACTTGGCATTCTTGATCCAGGAAATTCCTGTTGCGATGTTGTCGTTTTTCCAGAGGGCCTCATCCCAGCTGGGGAGGAGAAAGGGCCGCGGTTGCAATTGCCTCTAGTTGTTGAGGGCTAAACACTGAATTCATTTGTAAATCAGCCTCTTTTCTGTAGATTGAAGCAATTTCTGTCCTGCCAGGCGAGTTTGGAAGTTCGCCTTTTACATATGAATGTGCCCTTTAATCACCACTTCTGCATTATTGAGAGAGGGTGGAGGAGGCTGTGTCTAGTGGGAAAGGATTATACCTCGAGTATAAAAGATGGGTTTTCTCATTTCTAGGAGAGGGGCATCAGAACTAAAGAGAATCTGAAACAATTACTAAAAATATTAAAAACACCTTCAAAATGCAAACCACAGCTGTTTCCCTCCCCCCAGGCTCCCTTCTGATATTGTCACTTCGGCCAGCAGAACAACTCCAGTTCCTCGTATTTATTCACAATCCCAGGAAATAAATGGCTCTTCGGTGCCCTGCACCGAAGACTTTCAGCTCTGCCGAGCTGCTGTCGAGGGTGATAAATTATAGGCGAAAGCCCGGGGACATGAAGGCAAGTCGCTGGGCTTCAGACTGCCTGATTGCAAAGAGGTGACAGTGTCCTTGCCCCGCCGGGCGACCTAATGTGTACAAGACCGGGGCTGGCCTGGTAAGTGGTGACTCTTAGCCTGTTCTCTTTGCTTCTTCCTCCTCCCCCTGGGAGAGGCCGCTGAGGATCCGGAAGCAGGAATGTCTGCTGTGGGTGAGCCTCTGTTCTCTTTTGAACAAGAGAGGCTAGGCCCTCTGAGCAGCCACACTTTCTCAATGGCAGGTAAGTGCCTCCTCTCGGCGTTCCCTGCCCCTCGCATGTTCTGTCTCCGAGGTGAAATGCCATTTTCCCCAAGTTGAGAGTGACCTTTCATTCCACGGCCTCATTTCCATTCCAGCCCTCCCTGTCCCGGCTCTGGATAAGAAGTTCCTGTTGATTTGGAGAGATTCTTTAGAAGCACAGTTCAGGCCAGTGCAGTCCTCCGGAGAAGCAGGCTCAGCCCGGCAGCTCTGGTAGGGCCAAGTCAGCCAGGGTGCATACCGGTCCTCAAGTTTCTGTGGGTCTAAGAGATGGTCAGTGTTGGAGGAAATAATCATTTGCTTATGCAAGCAGTTTTCATTTACAAGTTCCTCCTGGCTTAGGCATTATCTGCTGCTAGGACAATTTTGCCTCCTCCCCACCCCCCAACCTTTGCTCCTGATTTTTTACTTCTGTTCTCCGCCAGAAGGAAATTCCAGACTTTTGTCTCTTTATGATGTAATTACTGGTTGGGGAGGGCCCCAAAGATTCCTGGGGAAGGGAGGCCTGTTTGGGTACCTGCTCTGTGTCTTTGGGAAATGCTTTGAAGTGATTAACCGTGCTCTGCTTTGCTGCTTCTGGGAGAGCAGCAGTGTGTGGTCATGTTTGAAGTAGGCCAAGGGGAGAGGACTGGTGATTACGAAAAGTGTTGCAGAGCAGGCCTCTGCTTCTGACCCTGCCTTCACAGTTCCTGGAGGAAACCTGGCATTTTCAGTCTGATTGAAATGCAGAAATCATGGCCTGGGCTGATTCTGGTCTCCAGTCGACACAGGCCGGCATTTTCCATAGCTTTGAACTTGTGGAATTGATTTAACATGCTTCCAGAAAGCAAGCTGTGTTTTTGGAGTGGGGGTGGTAGTCGGGGAGGAGGTGGAAGAGAAGCAAGAAAAAGGAAGAGTGATTGGTTAAAAAATAGAGTTACCTATTAGTTACCATTGAATGGGTGCTTACTATTTGCCAGGTATTATACTAAGAGCTTTACATGAATTAACTCATTGACTTATTCGATAACTTTACAAGGTACCATTATCTCCATCTCAAAGAACAGAGCACAGAGAGGTTAAGTCGCCTTTTTAAGGTCACACTGCAGGGGAGAGCACAGCCAGGTTCTGCATGCATTTTGACACCAGAGAGCTGATTCCCCACCACTGTGGCATCCTGCCTCTCTGTCGTTTGCAACCTGGCCCATCAGAGCATATGCCCTTGACCTATGGGTCCTGGTCTGCCCGGGACACAGCTAAGCACATGGTTGGTTGCCCTACTCCTGTGGCCTGTCATGCCTGTCTGGGCCTGTGGACCAAGCTTCTCTTTCTGTTCAGGCCCCGGCAGGCTTGCTGTCGACATCATTAAGGAAATTAAACACCCACAAAAACACAAGAAGCTCCCGGCCTTTCAGCTGTGGCCCTTTCCCTTGAGGGAGGAGACAATTCCTTGTAATGGTGTGTCATTTCCTAGCCCCTGGAGAACAGCATGTGCTGTGACTCAGGCGCCGGATGTGGGGGCAGGAGTGGGGTGGGGGGCGGGTACCTGACGTGGCCTGCTGGGGAGGCCTAGCCTTGATGGAGGCTGGAAAAGGGGAGGTAAGATGGCCCTGGAGCCTCCAGACTATTTCAGGGACTGATGCCACCATTTGGAAATTGGGAGATGAATATGCTTTCTGGGGACTGCCTTTGAGAGAACGGTGTCATCAGTGAATGGCATGATTTTCCACCTTCTCCCAGTTCTTGGAACTCTTTGTTGGACCTTCCCCACCCCCATACCTCCATCTGCAGTTCAGGGGAAAAAAGACAAAATGAGAGTGTACTCTTAAATCATAGACCCTAAATTAGGGAGTCCTCTTGCTACAGAGCTGGTGCGAGGCCTTGTGGTGCAGAGGTTAGAAGCTGGCCCTTGGAGTCCCATTGCCTGGGTTCAAATCCCAGTACTGCTCCTTGGTAGTTTTGTGATCTCAGTCTAGTGACTTAGTGGGAACTACAGGAAGTGCATTTTGAACAGTGCCTAGAATATCGCATATAATCAAAGAAACTCTTAGCCCTCTTTTTTTTTTTTTTTTTTGAGACCGAGTCTTGCTCTGTCGCCCAGGCTGGAGTGCAGTGGTGTGATCTCGGCTCACTGCAACCTTTACCTCCCTGGTTCAAGCAATTTTCCTGCCTCAGCCTCCTGAGTAGCTGGGATTACAGGTGCATGCCACCATGCCCGGCTAATTTTTTTTGTATTTTTAGTAGAAATGGGATTTCACCATGTTGGCCAGACTGGTCTTGAACTCCTGAACTCAGGCAGTCTCCCGGCCTCCCAAAGTACTGGGATTGCAGGTGTGAGCCACCACGCCCGGCCAAAACTCTTAGCTCATTATACTCTTGGCTCAGAAAAGCTATAAGCCTGAGTTATCTTGAAGGAAGATGCCCCTTAAATCAAAGACAGCCAGGAAATGCTGAGCTCCGGGATGATTTCTGGTGGATCACAAGACATAGGCCTGGGAAGGATCTCCTCACATGCTTGGTTCCTTTTTTTTTTTTTTTTTTGAGACAAAGTCTCGTTCTGTTGTTCAGGGTGGAGTGCAATGGCATGATCTTGACTCACTGCAACCTCCGCCTCCTGGGTTCAAGCAATTTTCCTGCCTCAGCCTCCTGAGTAGCTGGGATTATAGGCTCCCACCATCACACTCAGTTAATTTTTGTAGTTTTAGTAGAGATGGGGTTTCACCATGTTGGTCAGGCTGGTTTCGAACTCCTGACCTCGTGATCTGCCCACCTTGGCCTCCCAAAGTGCTGGAATTAGAGGCGTGAGCCACCGTGCCCGGCCTCGTGCCTGGTTCTTAATACCCAGTAGACCTTCCCATATTGTTACAATTTCAGCAAAATGTCACAAGGAGGGGAAAATTCTGCTGCTTTCTGCTCCATGCCAAGCTGTTTTCCTGAGTCACTGCTCTGTCCTCTCCACAAGGCTGCACTCCTCCCTCACCCACATTAACTCATTCAGAACCACTCATTTTTGTTAGAGGATAGGTGGGAGGCAGAGGGTTGTGAGTGAGCCAGCCCAGTGGGGTTGCAGGTCCTATTCCCTCAGAAAGCAGCAGAAAAGTCTTTCAGATCCAGGGTGAACCAGTGATTCAGTCGACAGTGGCTGTTTGTCATTGTTCCAAGTTTATAGATGAAATGCGCTGAGCAATACATCTTGTCAGAATTAAATCATTAAAGAAGAAAAAATTGACTCAGCTTTCTGGAAAGGGTCCTTATGGAGCCTGGTTACCATGGCTACAGTCGGGCGTACACCCACCAGTCCATCATCACCAGAGACCCAGCCCCCACTGGAGTGGGGGGCAGTTAAGTCATAATGCCACCCTGCTGTCTCATCCCTCCGAAGGATACTGAATCCAGCAGTCATTTCCTAATTCTTCTCCCTGTGAGCCTTCATTGAAATCCCCTGCTGTTAACTGATGTGTCTGTTGTTTGGAACCTATCAAATTTCGACCCCTTCGATACAGCCACTGAACTCTCATCAACTCCAGGGGGAATTGGTGTGTTTGTAACAGCGAACAGAATTGGGGTTTTTATGTTTTGCTGAAGCTAGAAGGTTTGGAATACTCTCAGATGTGGGCATCCTTGGGCTAGGACCCACCTCCCCCTACCTCTTGCTGAGCAGAACCTCAGTTTCCCCCTTTGTTTCCTGGTGGGCTTGGGTGATATTCCCTTGTCAACTCTAAATCGCTTACAAGTATATTAATTTCTAGTGATTTTTTTCCTCTTTCTCATTAAATTAAATAATTTTAATGTTCAAGAGGGACTTTTACATCCTATGGGGGCCCTGAAGTTTTTATTCATTGGAGCTGAGGACACCTTTGCAAAGGTGAAGTAAGCTATGGCTCCATGTACCTAGAAGCTGCACTCCTGTATACAATGATGGCCTGTTCAAGGGTCCCTGGAGCACTGTCTGGCCGTTAAATGAGAACTTCCAGTCTAGTCCCTTTCTCCCCCTCTCTTCCCATTTTGCAGGTGAGGCCCTGAGGCCCTGAGAGGTGGAGACTTGCCTGGGGTTGTTTGCTGTTTAGCCTTATTCTCCAACCTGGCCCCCTTGCTTGACCTCTATTCCCTGAGTCCTGGACCAACCCCTCACATAGTGTCTGGAAGGTAGAGGCCATTGGCTCTGGCTTGCCAGTGTGGAACAGGATTGTGTAGAGTTGAGAACTCAGACTCAGTCTCCTAAACACATACACATACTCTAGCATTTCTCAAACTAGTGTACCTCCCAGTCTTTGGGAGGACTTGTTAAAACACAGATTGCTGGGCCCTACCCCAGAGTTTCTGATTCTGTAGATCTGGGGTGGGGCCTGAGAATTTGCATTCTTTTTGTTTTGTTTTGTTTTTAAAGATAGAGTCGCTCTCTTTCGCCCAGGCTGGAGTGCAGTGGTGCACTCTCGGCTCACTGCAATCTCTGCCTCTTGGCTTCAAGTGATTCTCCCACTTCAGCCTCCCCAGTAGTTGCGATTACAGGCGTGCACCACCACACCTGGCTGATTTTTGTATTTTTAGTAGAGACAGGGTTTCACCATCTTGGCCAGTCTGATCTCGAACTCCTGACCTCAAGGGATCTGCCTGCCTGAGCCTCCCAAGGTGCTGGGATTACAGGCGTGAGCCACACCGCCTGACCAATTTTCTTTATTTTCCTAACGTCATCCAGGCACATGATAAATACAGTACAAAAGGGTATAGAGTGAAAAATCATCCTTCCCTGGACTCCCTGCTGGCAGTCCTCCCAAGGCAACTAGTAGTCCCCAAGTCGAGCTTTGTTGTAGTTTTGTGTTCATCCGGGAATATTCTAGGTTTGTGCAAACATTGATGTGTATATTCAATCTTTTTTGGGGAGGAATATTGGTCCGTTAATGGTGCTAGATACAGTTTATTTATTATTTATTTTTTTGAGACAGAGTCTTGCTCTGTCGCCCAGACTGGAGTGCAGTCATGCAATCTGGGCTCACTGAAACATCCGCCTCCTGGGCTCAGTCGATTCTCCTGCCTCAGCCTCCCAAGTAACTGGGACTACAGGCAAGTGCCACCACACTCAGCTAGTTTTTTGTATTTTTAATAGAGATGGGGTGTCACCATGTTGGCCAGTCTGGTTTTGAACTCCTGACCTCAGGTGATTCGCTTGCCTCAGCCTTCCAAAGTGCTGGGATTATAGGTGTGAGTCACCACCCCCAGCCTAATTTTTATATTTTTTGTAGATACAGGGTTTCACCATGTTGCCCAGGTGTTTTTTTAATCTTTTTAAATAAGTTTTACATTTTTTTAATTAAAAAATTTTTTTTCAGAGACAGTGTCTCTCTTTTTCACCCAGGCTGGAGTGCTCCGACATGATCATAGTTCACAATACCCTCGAACCCTGGGCTCAAGCAGTCCTTCCTCCTCGGCC